AAAAAAAAAACATAAATGCTAAATCTAAAACCAACTGCATTGTCTTGGTTTTCAGAATAGGAAGAAAATTATTGATTCATTATTTATAATGAGAGAATAAGAAAAAAGCTTAGTTGTTACCAATCTATATGACAGATTTTAGTGTTTATAAGTCTGATTTTTATTTTATGAATAATCTCCATTTGAAGTCCTAGAGGAAAGCATAAAGTACTAATTGTAGTCCATGTTATTTTAAAATGTTCATTTCTCAATTTTTTTCCTCATCATGCAATTGTAAGAACCCAAAGTTTGTTTCCTTGGAGGTTGTTTCATACCCTTGATTATTTTGTATAGATAGTTCCTTAAAAAGACTGGTTTAGTTTACATAAAAAATACAGTTATGCCAGTGAAACCCTAACATGGAAATATCTGTATCTAATAGGTGAGTGTTTATCATTCTGATAAGCTTTGCTTAGCCTGTGATAGTGAGATTTGCAAACAACAAATCAGAAATTTAGAAATATGATTACCTCAAAAGGAAACTATCCTATCTAGATCTGAATTGTATTGATAACTAGGTGTTCCCAAGTGGTTAAATATGTTATTAATCTTTGTTTATTGAAAGAAATTTAGCTTAGTGCCATAAAATTTTAAGTTATTTCCAGGTAAAGAGTTTACAAAATCATACCCTGCTTAAAAGTTTTACTTTGTAAACATTATAGACTGAGAGAAGCCATTAAATCATTAAACTTTATTTTGCTAAAATAAAAGTTTGGTATTCATATGTAAAAAAATTGATAAAGAAAAATCTGACAATATCATGGAGTTTCTTTGCCTATAAAAGTTTACTTAAAAGTGTCTTTGGGATAGAAAGTACTTAATAAGGCTCTGAAATTAAATTTATACATAAACAAAATGTTTTATCTCATTATTTAAAATAGATACTAATGGAGAACTCCTAAATAATTTTCTGGATGAATTATAATTCCTTTCCACAAATGCATCTGACCAGAAACAAACTATTGTCAATTTTATTTATGTTTAAAATAAACCCATTTGTATACGATGCATAAAAAATACTTTTACAATTCAGAAACATCTTATTTAATAAATCCTATATTTTTTCAAGTATAAATTCTCATATGCAACGAAAAACAGCTAAAAAACAGCCTTAGTAATGTAATTAATGGCTATAGATTTCTGGTCCTAATAATTGCTTAATAAAACAGTTCGTGACTTGAAAAAAAGAAAGAAAAAGAAGGCAAGGAGAAGATAACAACAGCAACAGAAGCCAAGGGAGAATAATTCAAGAACAATAAAACACATAGTAAATTTTTAATAATCATAGATCCTTCTAAGAAAGCAAAAGCAAAAATATTTACCTTTTCTATTCCTCTCGATTTCTAAATTATTTCACAATTTTTCAATTGTAATTTCTTGGAAAATAATTCAGAAGGACTTTTTAAAGAAAATTAGCCTATTTTCTTTCTTACTTCCTTACATTTAATTTTTCCTATTATTCTAAAATACCAAAATGAATTTAAATGATGCAATTTTTTTCTTAAAATTTCTCATTTTTTGCACATTAAACATTTGAAGGTAATTATGGCAAAGACAGGAGGAGTCAAATGACTAGAATATAAATTTCAGATGTGCCACCAATTTTACCAGGGTGGGCCTTATTTTCTCCATCTTTGTAAATTTAAAGAAGTGGATTGATGACTTTTTATTTTAGTCCCTCTAACCTCTTTACCAGGCTTATATATATAAAGCACTAACAGAGTCTTCAAAAACAAGTATAAACATGCATTAATATAGAATTTCTTGTCTGTTCAGCCCAAGCACTACAACATTCCAGGTCAGCACTATCAGTAGAACTTTCTGTGAAAAATGGGAATGTTCTCTACTTATGCTGACCAATATGGTAGACAATAGTAACATTTGAACATTTCCTCCCCTTTCCCATCCCTCCTCCCTCCTTCTCAATCTCAGTCTTCTACTCCACCTAGAGAGATCTTTCCATCTTCTAAGGTCATCTTCAATTTCTTTCTTCAGTGTTCTATAGTTTTCATTGTAGAGATCTTCCATCTCCTTGGTTAGAGCAATTCCCAAGTATTTTATCTTTTAAGGTCATTGTGAATGAAATGGTTTTTCCAATTTCTTTCTCAGCAAAATCACTGTTTCCTTTTAAAATGCCACTGAAGAACTGGACTTCTTAGCCCTTGTATGGGCTACATCCAGCATTGTGGATGACTAGACATGCTTATAAAAGCTGTGAGGTTCAACTGTGACAGGCACTAAAGATGCACAGATTAATGCTCAGCTCTCTCTCATAAGACTAAGTCATCTTTGTAATACTTTTACTATTATCTCTACAGGATCTATGCCCTGTTTCAATTATCAGGGAAGCATAACTGAAAAATGTTCTAAGTACCATCTTTCCAATAATCCCACTTAAAACAGATTGTTATTATTTTAAAGTAAGCCTAAATAGCCTGAACAAAAGAATACCTTGGCATCACAATTTCCAATAACTTCAATTTTTTCTGCCTTCAGTTCCACATTTTGCCTTTTGGAAGGGCTTTGTACCAGCTGCCCGAGGACTTCTACAGAACTCCCAAAAGTCAATTCTCTATAATAACAAAGAAATCAAGATATTATTATATATAACTTTTCTTTTAATAAAAATCTTGCTATTAAGTATAACTTTTGTCTTAATATAAATCTTGCTATTAGAACATTAATGATAGAGTACTTACCTTTAAATGAGTTAAAGAATCTTCAAAGTTTATGGATGCTCTGTGGTATACCTAAATCTTAAAAATGAATTCCATACATTTTTAAATGGGAATAAAGAAATTGAGGATTTACATATAGCTATTTAGAATTAAGAAGTTATATAATCATCTGTATCAAATATAAGTTGGTCAAAATGCTTTTTAACATATTGTAGATTACATGTAAGGTCTGATAAAATCCAAATCAGGTCTGTAGTTCTGTTGATAATTCCCTGGTTTTGAGAACATACTATAGCAACATGTTATCCTTGGGAAAGCCAGGTAAAAATTAAGTGAGACTATTTCTAAGACAATTAAAAGTACATGTACTTTTTCTACAATGTATTTTTTAAAATTAATCAATTTATTTACTTTAATTTACCCAGCTTGATGGTATTGAGCACACAGACTACCTTCAGGATAGTAAGTCTATGTTCTAGTGCAAGTTTATCCACAAATTTATTGTATTGTATTTTATCTTTTAAGGTCATTGTGAATGAAATGGTTTTTCCGATTTCTTTCTCAGCAAAATCACTGTTTCCTTTTAAAATGTATTCACATATAATTTGTATAACTAAGATTGTCCACCATTACATCAGGAGAGAAAACCTGATAAATCTTTCACCAAACCTAAAAGTGTTTTAAGATGCTCTGACTTCACATATGTACTAATTGATATGATGAATTTTCTCCTGGGGGCCACTGAGAATATCTCAAAGAGGTGGGTAGTCATCCTCCAGAATCTCTAAAATTTAGATACTATTAGACAGACATACCCATTTAATTGCCATACTGATAGATGTTATCAGAAAAATTACAAACTTTTCACATCAGAACAATTTTATTGTCTCAGACCCATGAGCCTATTCAATATGTGGAATTAATCCTAACCATGTTTGGAATACCAAAGCACTCTTATTTTAACAAATTAGTATAATATTCTATTCTTCATAACTTATACCCTAACATGCAAATGGTATTAGTTTTGTTGGGCACCATGACACATGCCTATAATCCAAGCTATTGGGGAAGCCGATGCAGGAAGAGTGCAAATTCAAAGCCAGCCAAGGTAACTTAGCTAGACCTCACCTCAAAATAAAAATAAATAAATAAAAAGGGTTTGGAATAAGCCAGGTGCAGTGGTACATGCCTATAATTCCAGTGATTCAGGAGGCTAAGGCAGGAGGATCACAAGTTCAAGGCCAGTCTCAGAAACTTAGTGAGACCCTCAGCAACTCACTGTCTCACAATAAAAAATAAAAAGGACTGAGGATGTAGCTCAGTGGTAGTGGGCCCCAGTACTAGGGGAAAAAAAATTGTGTTGGTTTTAACATCCGACAACAAAATCATATAAATTTCTTCAATTTATCCAACAAACAATAATTGGTAACCTTGTCAGCACTTGTGCCAGAAGCCAAGAACACAAAAACGAATGAAATACCATTCATAATTTCAAGGAGTTCTTAGTCAAAGAAGCAATCCAATAATAATTCAGTTGATTACCATCTGATACAATACATTTCAGGACAAAGCTAGGCACAGAATGCATGGGACCAAAGAGGAGAGTCACCTACCACAGTCAAGGGGTGATGATGATGGCTAAACTGGATTGGAAAGACAGGGAAGAAGAGGTTTATTAGGCAGAAGTGGCAACAAGACTAGAAGCCTGAATGTAAAAAGGAGCAGAACAGCTTAGAGGAGCTGCAAGAAGAGAAGGAAAACTGATGGAAAGTAGAGGCAGGGGATACAAGCATGTGAAGATGTTAGAGAAGGAGAAGCCTGAGCTAAGGATACTGACTCCAAGTACTTGGACTTTCTTCAAAACTATTTTTCACAGATGTGTTTAGGAAGATAGGTCAAAGGGGCAATGTGAATATTGGATTAGGGAAGCGGGGAACAGTAGAGAAGAAGAAAAAATCAAAGGACTCAAAATTTAACAACTTACTTATTGTCAAAGTTTGAATCAGCAACAACCTGAAGGCTTTCCAAAGAGGACCCATCATTTACATGTAGGAACAAGACTTCCTTCTGAGATCGGACTGATCGAACCCATCCCTAAAAAAGAGAAAAGATTTCTATATGTGAGCTTAAAATACTTAAAACATTCTATATTTTCTTTATACATACAAAGAAAGCTAAATGAAAGAAAAAAATCAATCTTGCCTTAACATTATCAGCTGTGTAAAATGAACTGCTTTCAGTTTACCAATATGCACAAATAATTTTAAATGGTTTTTCTTATAGGGAGATACAACCTTTGCCATTCTACCTTTTGTTCTGTTTTGTTAATGAAGCTCATCATTTTCAACTTTTGCCAAATATTCATCAAGTTTCTGTATGTAATTTATATAACCAATCTCTTCAATATTGGCTTTTCTAATGACAATGACAAATAACAAGGTTTACATCTTGGTGCCTTTTTCCCTTTTATCAAATTCCCAGATTAGGTATTATAGACTAGAAATATCTTTACAGGATTTTTATTCTTTCACAAAGTACCAAACAAACAAACAAACAAAAAACTCCCCCAAATGTCTCCTTATGAACACATATTAAGTAATACACAAACATTCAAAGACAGTCTTAATTTAAATGACAGGTACATCAGAGTACGAGAGATGCTTTTAAGTAGGCCAGTAACACTAAAACAGCTCTCAGATATGCCCAAATTAAATTTAACTACTATAGGAGTTAGGAGGGAATAACTAGTTTTCTAGTAGACACCAAACAATTGTGAAATGTCCCACAAATGTAAAGTAAATGAATACAGGTTGACATTCATGCTTAGGAAAAGAGCTGATTCTAACCAGAAAAACTATTGACCATTCTCTGTTGTAACCATAACCTTACAGATGCTTTTATTAAAGCTCTCTATCACTTACTTGCATATCCATAATGCTTTAAGGGAAAGAAAACTGTTTACCTATTTTGAAGTGATTGCCAAGTACACAGCTGAAATTCTGCAAATGTTTTACTACCTCCATATAGTGTCTCATTCCATCACATAGTAGCTCTAAGGATTGTCATACCCATTTTACAAGCAAGAAAACTGAGACTCAGAGAAAGTAACCTGTTGAAGATTGCTGGTAAGGGTTAGACTTGAATCCAAGTCTATTTGATTAGAAAGCTCTTGATCTTTGTGAGGGCTCCATAGAATGAAGTAATTGTCACCGCCTCATGCACAAGGTACTTCACCTCGTCACACATTCCCAAAGGCACCTGTATTTTGGGCATGCTCAATCAACAGTACTTTCCAAAGCACTGCTCTCTTCTTTTTTACTCGTAAGATTCAACATTCATTAAGCACTTTTTAATGTGCAAAGTTCTTTATAAATATTATGCTATTTAATTATCGAAAGAAGTAAATGACATGGTTATATTTATCTTTTTTAAATTTATTTTTAGTTGTAGATGGACATAATGCCTTTATTTACTTATTTGTATGTCATACTGAGGATTGAACCCAGTACCTCACTGTGCTGGGCAGGCACTCTACCACTGAGCTACAACCCCAGCCCCATAATTATCTTTTTTTGAAATGAAGAAACATTTAGAGAAGTTAAAGCACAAGTTCAGCTGGGATTCAAATACAAGTTATTACTTCAAGTTTATGTTCTTATCAATGAACTTTTCTGGAATGCTATTTCTACCCTATTCCCAGTTCCTCTGCTTGGGGGATACATCCTTGTACAATTTCCACTCCATCCTAGATTATTCTATCTGGGGAATACATCCTTCAGGACACAGTTCAAATGTCACTCCATATAAGAAGTCTTCCTTACTTACTCATAGGAGGAATTCTATCTCTGTTTTCTCATAGCTTCTTATGTTGATCATTAATAATAATCACACTGCTGAAGACTAGGTCTGTCCAGCAGAAACATAATGTGAGCTACATTAGTGACTTTCAAGTTTTTAGGGGCCACATTAAGAGTAAAAAAAAAAAAAAAAAAAGATGAAGTTAATAATTTATTTTATTAACCAATTATGTCCAAAATACTATCAACATGAAATCAATATTTAAATATATTAAATATATTGAAGCCAAACATGGTGGCACATGTCTGTCTGTAATCCCTGCTACTCAAGAGGCTGATGCAGGAGGATTACAAGTTCAAGGCCAACCTGGGCAAATTAATTTGGTGTATCAGTGGTAGAGTGCCTGCATAGCATGGGTGAAGCCCTGAGTTGAATTCCCAGTACTGCAAACAAATAAACAAAAAACACAAGCCCCACAGATGTATATACATAGATAGACACACATGCACACATGTGTGTTTAGAGAGAGAAAAATAGAGATTTTGCAATCTTTTTTGTTCTTCAAATTATTATGTATTTTAAACTTACAACATATCTCAATTCAGGCTCATCACATTTCAAGTGCTCGAAGCCACAAGTGGTTGATACCTACCATATTAGATGGTAAACACTAAATTCTGTTCTTTCCATCTTTGATTTCTCTTTTGACCAGCACACAAAAGGTGTCATTTATACATTCTAAATTAACTGATAAATGCAATTTTTTGAATTGGATCATGGAAAGAATATGAAACCTAAATAAATGTATGGAGGAGCAGATCATAATAACAGCAAGGATATATGATGATATCAAAATAACTGTTATCAATGTGTTTTAGTAATCTAATGAGAAGCAGTCAACTATCTTGCTTAACCTGCTCTTTTAAGGAGTGAAGGAAATAATAGTGGCTAACATTTATTGACTGTGGGCTACTCTTTATAGTCCCAAAAGTAGGGACTATTATCTGTTTTCATAAAAAGAAACTTAAGTTTAAGCGCTTAACATGCTCATAATTAACAAGTTACTTAGTGGGAGAGATTGAAACTTACACACCTCCACCCCAGGGCTCTTTCAAACTGCTACATTCCACTCTTTCAACTAATTTATTAAACATAAATTACACGCAGGCCCAATTTTAGGCACTAAGGTGGCTAAAAGCTGAATCAAAGCCCCAATTTATTTACGAACATTTACTGCCAGTCACGACAAAGTTTCTCCCCTCAAGGGGCCAGGGCAAGGCAACCACTATATGCCCGCGGATATCATGAGATGTAAAAAGAGAAAGGGGCCCTGTTCGCTTACACTTTCCTGAATGAATAACAAGTTTACAGGTATCTTGAAAACCAAGTTCACAGTCACTAGAGCAGTTTTGCAAAGAGTAACGGCAGGTATCCGAGGAAATGGAGAAATAGGAACTCGCGCTATACCTATACTTTCTAACTTTTCTCTGCTGATCGTTCTGTCTGTCCCAACAACACAAAGTAACGCTAGGTGTGGATGTGACACATAAGTCCCTAAAGAAAGAAAGAAAAATCCCTTTCCCCACACCCACCTGAACTTTAACACGCTCCCCACTCGCGTTCTGGGACCCGAGAGCGTCCCGTACCCTCAGTCTGGCGAAAGGCCTATGCCTGGGGCAGGGAGCAGTGGAGCAGAAGCGCAGGGCTCGAAGCAGACTCCAGGCCCCGAGCATCTCGCGGCCGCCCCAGGTCACCGCGGGACCAGCCCTGGCCACAGCGGGTTCGGATCCTGCCGGCAAGGGCCCTCCTTCTCAGCTGTTCCCCTAAACACGGTCGCAGCCCTGTCCTCAGGCGCTGCAGCCCCCAGCTCTACCCAACGACTGTCTCTGTTCCCCACTTCCAGGCACACTCAGCAAGTGCCAAAACCAAACGGCGCGCCTGGGCGGACCACGCGACCCACTGCCGCGCGCTACTAGCAAAAGTACACCCCTCTGCTGCAATCTACGCTCCCACTGGCCCTACGTTACCACGTCAACGTCGCCTGTGTCATCACGCTAAGAAGGGCTAAAACGGAGCATGCGTACTTGTGTGCTCGACTAAGGAGGCGGGACGGAGGTGAGGGCGGGGTCAGGAGCCAAGATGGGGCGGGGCTAAGGCAGAACCTGGTGTATGCGTTTTCACAGACCGGGCAAGGGAGTGCAGCTGGGGTGAAGTCTCAGCGTCTCTTTCCTAAAGCTTTCAGGGAAAACTGAGAGCACTTGAAAGGCAGAGGGAAAACATCCAGAAGACTTAATTGATGAGAGTAGTGACCCGAGGGTGTCAGTCGTTCCTGAGTTTGAACTCAGAAGAAAATCAGACACTGTCCCTGATCAAATCACAGTTGGGTGCTATCAGACATCCAAATAGATAATTACGTAAAAGGGTGATCAGGTGCCTACAGAACCCAAGCTGGATATCAGAAATGGCTTTCTGAAGAAGGTAGTCCTATGAAAGGAAGTAACTAAGAGGAACTAAAGAGACCGTGAATACAGGAGTCTAGAGGAGACATGAGGGGGTAACTATGATGGAGAGAGAATGGAGAATTAACAAGCGTTGCCTGCCAGAATCTTGAGTCTCTTTTTTTTCCAACACAGTTACCTGCATCTGTTTCATCGGAAAACAATGACCCTTTAATATATTCTGCTATATTCTAAATTTATACCAAAAAAAAAATAATTTTCCCCATAACTCAGTGAAGCTCATGAAAATGTTTCTATCTTGTTAAACAATAAAAGGTAGAAGTGAGAGCTAATTACTCAAAGTTGCCACTGTTATATCCATTTTACAGATAAGAGAATTTAGAGAAAGAATTAATGACCTGATCAGTGATACAAGATTTAAACTCAAAAGTCCTGACTCAATGCACTAAACTATCATGCTACACTTCATTTCAAGGTGGAAATTAAACAGTGATCCCTCCCATAAAAAGCTTATGGTCTAGAAAGGGAGACTGGCCAGAAAAAGATCACTGCAAAATAAACCAGTACATGTAGATGAATGCAATGAGTGGAAGTGGTAGTCTATAGAAGGAGGTAATAGAGCTGAATTTTTGAGAAGGATCAGAATTTTATCAGATGGATAGTAAGAAAATTTCCTGCCCAAAGATAAACTGGAAAAGCTGTTAAGAGATAGGGCTTGCCTAGCACATGTGAGGCACTGGGTTCAACTCTCTGCACCACATAAAAATAATAAATAAAACAAAGGTATTGTGTCCATCTACAACTAAAAAAAAATTTTTAAGTTGTCAAGGGAACAAATAGCTTAAAAGGATTGTACAGCAGGTTGTGATGGTACATGCCTGTAATCCCAGCAACCCAGGAGGCTGAGGTAGGAGGATCTTAACTTCAAGGCCAGCATTGGCAACTTAGAGAAATCCTGTCTCAAAATAAAAATAGGAAGGATGGGATGTAGCTCAGTGATAGAGTTCCCCGGGGTTTAATATCCAGTCCCACAAAATAAATAAAAATAAATAAAGTATTGTACAACTGTTCTCAAGACAGACTAGAAAATATCTTGAACACTTCTTGAACCTTGAAAAAAGAAAAGGTTGGAAACTTACTGCCTTTGGAGTGATGGGCTTTAACAAAATAAGTATGCCTTTAGTGGGTTGATTTAAAAATCTGGAAAACAAGGCATGTTCCCCACATTGATGTGCATCCCATTGCAAACCTAGTTTTTAACTACACCTACCCTTTCCAAATGTTCAAACATACCAAAGAATTGGTTCAGTTTTTTCTCAGGACATTTTTCTGTCTTGCCTTCATTCTCCTCTCTCTCTCCCACCCACAGGATGATGTGCATTTAAAGAACTGGGGTTTAAGTCTCAGTGGGAATCCTGACTTCTTTTTCCCCACTTGTTTAAGCCAAAGGGTTATTTTGTAAGCAGGAACTACAGCTTAGTAATATGGTAAAGAAAAGGGAAATCAGTGGGTGAATCTGAAAATCAGCAATGTTAATTAAAAAAATGCATATGCATATAGAAAGTTGACTATAGCATTCATGCTTCTGGTGCTGAGTTCAAACTACCACCTATCTCTTGTACTATATCAAAATGTATCTTCTTGTTTAGTTTTCAATATTAGATTTGCATCCTTGAGTTTAGATTTATCACACTCTAGACAGTAGCCAGAATGATGTTTCTAAAATGAATATCTTGCCCTATTAGCAATAATGACAACTAGTGTACCTACTACAGGGCTGGGGTTGTGGCTCAGCGGTAGAGTGCTCGCCTAGCATGTGTGATGTCCTGGGTTTGATCCTCAGCACCACATATAAACAAATAAATAAATACAGGTCCAGCAATAACTAATAAAATATTTTAAAAAGGTATAGCTAAAAATAAATATTAAAAAAAATAGAATGCCTACTATGTGGCAGGAACTCTTTATGTATTATCATATTTAATCATCACACTAGCTCTTTCAAGTAGGGTTAGAAGCCCCACTCCCAGGGATAGGAGAAAATAAAGTTCAGAGAGATTTCATAGCTTGCAGTAAGTTACACTAGCAGTCTGGTTACAGAGTCAATACACTGGTCCATTTTGTTCAGTGATTAAACAACCCTTGAATTGCTCCCCCTGTAACATGAAGAAAACTTGCCATCTACAGAAGCCCTACCAGCCTCTCCCCATAGATCTCTCTGATCGGTGGAGCTCTGTGAAGGGTCCTGGGTGAGGAACAGAAGTGAAATATCCTTATTGTTATTCTTCCATATGTTATTCTTTGATACTTTGGGGGGTATGCAACAAATAGTATCAGTGTTATTCATCAGCTCTGGGGATGTTTTAATCAGCTTATGCACAATAGGTTTCATTTTAACTTACTTCATAAATTTACTATAATTTGTTCTTTTGTTTCTAAATAAATTTTTACTTTAACATTTATAAAGTCGTATATGTTTTCTTAGAATCTTTCAAATTTAAGAAAGCTCACATTCCATGGAAATGGATCTCCCTTTGATCACAGAACATGGCAATAAACATGTTGGATACATTTCAAAGCTTTCCCTGGATCAAAGCCTAGAGTCTATGCATCTTCAGTGTTATTGGGTACTGCCAAATTGCTCTCAACTGATGACTCAAATTTATAAACTCTCCAGCAGGCTTATGACACTTCCCAAAGCTACATACCTTCAGTGAGAATTCATAGTCAGACTTTCTAACTTTTGCCAGTGATGGGTCAGAGAGAGTATCTCAGTGTTTCAGATATTTATGTTTTGATTTTCTTCTTTTGTTCATCAAAATTCTATCTTAAACACAAATTTCTTCCTTCCTTCCTTCCTTCCTTTTTTCTTTCTTTCTTTCTTTCTTTTTTTCTTTTTCTTTTTTTTTTTTGATACCATTATGGAAAGGAACACTAGCCTGGCAATCAGAAATCCTGGAGCCACCGTGGAACCTATGTGCAGTCACTTAAACTCTACACTGCCCTCACAAGATTGTTGACCATAATAACAAGCATTCTGTGAAATTTGTCATAGAGAAATTTGGGTTTATCTAACTGAACACCCTCTATTATTTACAAGTTTCATTTTAGAGTTAGGGAGTCCTCTAAATGTCATTAGCCAACTCTGTCTGAATTCCAAAATAGAACATTCAGGATTAATTTCATCTCTTTTATGTACATTTCTTCAGAATGCATAAGAATCACCTGCAAAAATAAAAAATGGGGAGGGAGAGAATGAATGAATATGAATATGAATCATCTAAAAGGACTGTTAAAATACAGATTTCTGGGTCTCCCTCCAATTGATTCTGACTTACCTTGAGAAACATTGCTTACTCTGTGATTAGGTTTTGTCCTTATCTTGATTTCAGGAGGCCCTTACTCTGAACTTCTTTTCTTATACTACATTACCTTCATCATCGTCACCATTATTTTAAACTTCTAATGTATGCTCAGAGAAGGTGTAGCAACCTACATTTAAGGTGCCTTTTAGGTTGTGAATGAGGGCAACATCAGAGAGGAGTGAGTGGAGCAGGACCTCTGAGTACAGAAGGAGTCCCTCCCTCTGCTAGCTCTGCATTCCCCACAACACCCAACCACACCCTTCCAGCCTACTGCATTTTAGTAACCTCAATTTACTTTAGATATAAGACTTAGAGTTAAACTGGACATAAGCCCAAGCCCCCTTAAGCCAATATTTTAAAACTGTGGTCTTGATGTAGTAGGCTTACATATTGAAATAGTAAAATCATAATGATGATTCACCAAATCAATTTTGTAGATTTTTTTTTTTTTTGGTACTGGGGATTGAACCCATGGGTGCTTTACTACTGAACTACATCCCCAGCCCTTTTTATTTTTTATTTTGAGGTAGTGTCTCACTAAGGAACTAAGGCTGGCCTTGAACTTGCAATCCTCCTGCCTCAGTCTCCTGGTGGTGTGTATTTTTTTTAAAGGACACATTTATTCAGCATCATAATCAGACTCTTACAGTTAACATTCAACAGCATGGGCACAAAAAAAAAAAAAAGTCTACATTAAAACCCTTGGTTGGGGGCTGGGGATGTGGCTCAAGCCGTATCGTGCTGGTTTAGCATGCGTGCGGCCCGGGTTCGATCCTCAGCACCACATACAAACGAAGATGTTGTGTCCGCCAAGAACTAAGAAAAAAATAAATAAATGTTAAAATTCTCTCTCTCTCTCTCTCTCTCTGTCCCCCCCCTACTCTCTCTTTGAAAATAAAATAAAATAAAATAAAACCCTTGGTTGGAATGCTTTATACTTTCCACAGAACAGAAGCTAATATAGTGAGTGGGTTTTGATCAGCAGAATAGGAAGGTATTGGGAATGTGGCTCAGTGGTTAGTGGTGGTCCAGCATGTATGAAGCCTTGGGTTCAATCCCAAGCACAGCCCAAACCAACCAAACAAAAACAATCTGTCTGTATCTCAGGTAATATTAGTGATTGCTGTTTGATGAAGCTTCTCGTAGACAAGATGTAAAATATATTTTATGTAGATGGGCAAGAAAGAATTTGAAAACCACTGCCCTTAACCGTACCGTGTT